AGGAACTAAGATCTCTACTATATTTTCCTTCTACATTACATCTATATTTCTTGTCTATTGTCTTCGTTTGTCCTCAGTTCCGAATACAAAGGTTGATCTAATTCTCCCAGCCTGCGTCTTGCAACCGATCATTCTGGCTGTGCCGGACGACACTATGTCTTCATCCTCACCGGCACACTATTCGGTCTATCAATCTATCCTGCACAAGAAGCAGGGAGAAATAGACAAGGATGGTGGAGGAGATGATAAGTCCGATAGTAATTCACCTTTCAACCAGTCGTTTGAAGATGTCAAGCAGATCATGCAGGACGGTTACACTCTGACCGTCATAAAGACGCAGATGACCTTCAAACAGGAAAACGACAGACGAGGCCGGTTCAGCGAGTATTCTCTTCTTCTGCGACGAATCATGGACGTTAAGTCCAACGCCAGGCCGAAACTGCAGCTCGAGATCCAGTCTCACACCCTGCGAGAAGCCTTTGCGCAACTTGCGGATGACTTGACGACCATCAGGCTAAGCCACGATCCAATCGTAATTCCAGAGCCGTTCATGGAGGTCTACCATTGCAGAGAGAAGATCCAGAAGGCGGTGGAGGTGGCGGAGAATGGCAGACTTCGAGCGGAGCTACAGCTTCTTCTCAACTTTCAAGACAAGTACATGGTCGAAACGACCAAGACGATTGACCAATTCATCGACAACTGCTACATAGCATTCGAATGGCTCTGGGCAATCTTTCCTCCCGGCGAACTAGTCGTGATCGAAAATAACTCGGCTTCGGCCACTCCAATCCAGTGGTGCGCCAGGGTCAAGTCGTTCGAGTTTCAAGCCCTTGACTCCGGAGTACGAGTTTGGAACATCACAGTCACTCACACCGGCTTCAACGGCCTGAGACTTGGAAAGACCGAAACCTGCCTCACCTTCCCTGAATTCTCCAACAACATTCCTATTTCCAGACTTCCAGCTTATCCAGTGAAGTACTGCAAGGACGAGAGTGGGCTGCAGCTGGAGGCGGCTCGCCGTGGAAGGAACTACGTGGCATATTGCCTAGCCAGCTCCAAGTCCAAGAAAAAGCCGATTGGGACTCCAATGTGGCATGCGGGGCCGATCTGGACGGAGCGAGATCCTGGGAGGGATGACCGCCGGGGGTGTCGAATTATGGACAGCCCCTCCGGTACTGTGAGCTTACATCTTTTACATTCTTATCCGTTTTGAAACCTAACAAATTTGAACTTAGGTGAGAGGAAGAGCAATTGTCGATTTTGAGGGCTTCTTTGGGCAATCGCCCACGTTTAGAGAAAGGCTAGATTCGGGAAACCGTCAGGTGGATGATGACAGCAGCGACGATAGCGAATTTCGCATGTCTTACCGACGGGAACGACTAGCTTTTCGGAGAACATACACAGATGCGTCCATCTCCCAGCTTGGCACACCTCTTGATGCGGACTCCTTGTTGGAGGATGACATTCTCACATGCCCACCACTGGTGCCCATCTACACCTTCGCCTCTCGCCAATGGTGCTTAGCCTTCATTGATGACCTCTCTGAGATCGAGTGGAACCAGCATATATTCGAGCAGTTGCAAATTGACGAGAAGATGAAGGAAGCCATCCAAGGGCTCGTCCTAGGTTACTCAACTCATGCCACTTTCTTTGATGATTTCGTTGAGGGCAAGGGCCAGGGATTGGTATTCTTGCTGCATGGGCCCCCAGGTTGTGGGAAAACGATGTCAGCAGGTAAGTTGAAGCTTACCGACTGAGCTTTTCGCTTACAATTGACCTCTACAGAAAGCATTTCAGAATCTTTGCAGAAACCGCTTTACCATATTAGTGGCGGGGAACTTGGGGCTTCCGTAGAGTCGATTCAGGACGCCCTGGAGACAGCTTTCGACCGAGCCGCGCGGTGGGATACTATCCTTCTGCTAGACGAGGCCGATGCATTTCTAGCAAGACGTGATGGTGCTGATATCGAACGAAACTCCCTCATTGCTGGTAAGTAAAAGACATTGCCAGTAACCTCGCTGCAAAGCCTATTATCTGACGGTGAAAAGTGTTTTTGAGATTGCTCGAGTATCAGTCAGGAATTGTCTTCCTTACTACCAATAGATTGATAGACTTTGACCCAGCATTCGAATCTCGTATCCATCTTCAGATCCCTTTCTCGAGTCTGGATGTTTATAAGAGACAGTCTATTTGGAGACTGCTGGCACAGAAGAACGGCAATTGCACACTCTCGCCCGAACAAATCAGAGCATTGGGTAATCTACCTTTGGATGGACGTCGGATCAAGAACATTCTCCGGCTGGCTTCGCTATTCGCCGCCAACAGGAGCCGAGGTGGTAGTAAAGGAAATTCTAGCGGCTCAACGGCATGCCACGACAGAATTGAGGTGAAAATGAGTTTCGAAGACATTAGAAAGGTCCTCCCTCTTTCTATTACGCGCCTGGAGACCGTACATGACGCACAGGGAGAACGGCTATTACAGACGCAAGCTCTGTTAGCAGCATTGGAGGATCTGATGGCGGAGTTTAACGAAGGCGTGGACGGGAGGCATCGAGACTAATTCATCAATTCATCTGTCAAGTATTGAAGGAATGCGATATGAGTTGTTCAACGTCTTCGGTCAGGCGCCCCGGGACCTAAGGCATCTGTCAGAGCTCTCCTCCCTTCCGACTGTAATAGAGAAAGTTAGGAGAGGTTAGGTTAGGTCAGGTCAGGCCAGGTGAGGTTAGTGTTGGAGTCAGTTATAATGAAATGGGAGAGAAGGTGCTTAATGGGATTCCAGTTGCTTTTAATTTGCATGCTGCGTCCTTCGTAGTATCCGTGTGTGAAGCGTCTAAGCCTCCCTCGCTTCGGCACTTCCCGAAATTTTGGGTGGTCGCTGCAGTCTACCAACTACAACAAAATGGCAACCTCATCATCGCGGGTCACGCGGTCCAGCGCAGTAAAAGCATCAAGGAAAATCTCATCCCAGCTGACGCCAGATGGAAAAAGTCCAGACACTACCACCCAAGGCGTGACCTCGACGAAGCGTCGCCCTGCACGCCGCCGCGACGCGTCCGAAAGCGACGCGACAGCGCCAGACGAGAGCGACGAGCCCGCGCCAAAGAGACGGAAAGCTCAACCATCGAGGGCTAAAAGCAAGACCATCGCCAATCAATTGCACCAGCGTCTCTTTGGCCCAGCAGGACGAACAGGTCGCCGACTGTGTGCGCCTCCGACGCGACGACACGATGTGAGCTACCATCGGCCCGCCCTGCTGGACGACGCCGCGTGCCGCCTCGCTCTCCTCTCCTGGTTCGACAGCGTGAGCACCAAGCGAAAAATGCCATGGCGCAAAGCCTGGATCAACCCGCGGGAGCACGACGACGCCAGCGAGCTGCGCCGGCTGCTCGAGCGGAGGGCATACGAGGTCTGGATCAGCGAGATCATGCTGCAGCAGACGCGCGTGATCGTCGTCATCGACTACTGGACCAACTGGATGGCCAAGTGGCAGACGATCCACGACCTGGCCGCTGCCGAACCCGACGACGTGTTGAGTGCCTGGCGCGGGCTGGGCTACTACAGCAGAGCCGCGAGAATCCACCAGGCCGCGAAGCTCGTCGTGCAAGACCCTGGGATGAAGGGCCTGCTGCCATCCCAAGTGGAAGACCTCGAGGCAAAAGTCCCCGGCGTGGGCCGCTATACTGCTGGCGCCATCTCGGCCATCGTGTTCGGGCGGGCCGTGCCGATGGTCGACGGAAACGTCTTGCGCGTTCTGAGCAGGCAGCTTGGTCTCTTGGGCAACGTGAAAACGGACAAGGGCATCATTGACACGCTGTGGGCCGCCGCCGCCGCTCTCGCCCAAGCTGTTGCGCAAGACGGCGCCGAAGACGAGGACCCGGAAACACGCCATGTGAGCAACCGGCCGGGGAGATGGGGCCAGGCGCTGATGGAACTCGGGAGCACTGTTTGCACGCCCAAGCCGAACTGTGGTGAATGCCCAATTAGCTCAACCTGCCACGCGTACGGCGAGGGAAAGATGCTAGCCTCTGGCAAGAAAGTCGACGTGGAAGACATAGAGGACTTTTGTGATCTCTGCGATGTCCTGGAAGAGACGACAGGCTTGGAAGGGGATGCGGATGCCGGTAACAAAGCGAAGGCCGCCCCTAAGCAGACCAAGCAGATGAAGCTCTCGGCATTCGCATTCAAGGACCCGGCAAGCGTGAAAACATCAGCGAAACCCAAGACCGGCCCAAGTCCTCGGGAGATGGAGGTCATCGTGGACCATGCCCGAAAGTTTCCTCTCAAGGTTGTCAAGAAGGCTGCGAGAATCGAGGAGACTCTCGTCTGCGTCATCCGCCGGAGCGACGGACACCACCTGATCCAAAAGCGCCCCGACAAGGGCCTCCTCGCCGGCCTGTGGGAGTTTCCAAGCGAGATCCTACAGGAATCGGACGACAACAGCACGTCGAAGCTGCGCAAATCGAGGGCAACGGCGTTTGTGACGAACGTGATCAGCCAGGACAAGACGGCGACAGCGGGACGGCTAAAACACGTCGGGGAACTGGGCAGTGTGCCGTGGTTGTTCTCGCATATCAAGCTCACTATGCACGTCCACCTGTTTACTGTAGACACGCTTGACGATTACGGGGTGGATGCTGCGGCTGGAGCAGATGCTCGGCTGAAATGGGTCTCGAACGGAGAGGCCGATAGGGAGTCGATGGGAACTGGCATGAGGAAGTGTTGGGCACTGGCGAAGGCTTACGAGGAGTGAATGAGCGAGTCTTGGATTCTGCGTGTGACTGTCGAGACGAGTTCTGAATATCCTAGAGGGTAGGCATGAGTAGCTTTGTCAGTGAGCAATACCACTGAGCACAGCAAGTAATATTCTCGAATAAATCATGGCGAAGGTTGCAACGTGCCCGAGAACTTCCTCGGACAAACCAGGCAATTCAGTCCATCAAAAAGACTTGAAGCCCTGGCGTACTCAAAAAGATTCCTTCGTTGCCCACACGCAAAAATGATGAGACTGGGATTCGAACCCAGGCCTCTTACGAGACTGCGAGATCGTTGTAGTTGGGGATCCAACCTGAACACAGCGCCTTAGACCGCTCGGCCATCTCACCTTATTGGTTGGACTCAGCCGCAAATATTGGCCATTATCATGGGTACCCATCCCAACCCTTGGGCGTATTGGCATCGGCACGTTGCACGCCAGCCTCTCATGAGCCCATGTGTGAAATTATGAGAACAAGCTGTTGTTCACGGTTTCTCCGTTCATGTACCAACATCAAACGCCCACTGCACAACGTGTCGGACGAGCTTGATCATGGGGTGCCGTGATTCATAAATCGTTGACACTTTCCGTCTCCACCACCTTGGGAGCAAAACCCACAACCCTTCATGGTTTCTAGGATCAAAAATTCTCAAAAAATGAGTCAGGAATTTGAGGAGCCTTAAAAATACACAAGAATTATTTGAGCATAATAGGATCAGTGCTTCGGTACTTATCGTCGAGTTCCTTGTATGCCTCCGGAGCGTATGAGTGCGGGGTCAAAACGGTGCACTGTGTTTGATACTGCCTGAGGGACCTGCCGTTGTTACCTACGGCCAATCGTGAGTGAACAACAAGAGAACAAACGGGAACGCGATTTAGGAAGCTGGTCCCGTGACCCGAGAGCAAGTCCATTACGTTTCTACCTCGCATCCAAACTCCCGCAGAGGCCTTCATCCTCCTCTCACTTCATCTGGCACGCCGAACATCCTCCCTTGAGACCTCAAGGTATGTGCACCTCCTTTTTCCCTGAGGCCCCCCGAGCCTACCTCCATTCTTATATTCTTGCCGCAAGATCTCCTCGGGCGTCATTGTGCTAACGGTCTCTTCCCTCACTAGAACCCTGATTCAACGAGTTCTCGAGGTATGCGCCGCGCACTTGCCACCCGGCTCCTCAGCTACTCACGTACTGACCTGTGATTTGCAGATGGCGTCCGAGAAGTCTCCTCCTGACGATGCTCCCGTATCCCCTGCTGTTACCGCCTCGTCTCGTGGCTCTAGCAACTCCAACAATTACGGCCATTCTGTCGAATGGGGTTCCCGCCCTGTTACTCCTGATCGTGCCTCTGTCTCTAGCACTGCAGCGACCTCTCCTGGACCACCGGCAACAATAGCCGATGCCATGAACAATGCCGTGGACAATCTGATTAGACACACCCAAGACCTTTTCGCTGCTACTGATGTCTCTGGCGTTATTGCGGCAGCCACATATATCACTCGTCACTTGCCCAACAACTTTCCTCCCAATGCGGTGGAGACCATAGTGGCTCAATGGATTGAATCCAAAGCAAATCCACCTCCTACACGAGCTCCGATGCAGCCAGCAACACCAGAAACCACAGCCGGACCTCGTCGAGGATGCCCAATTTGCGGGACTGGCTTCCACAATGCCCGTCGATGCTGGTTTCTTGCACTGCCTGGTGAGATTATTCTCTATGTTGCCTATGTATTCCACTGCTAACGGTCAGAAGGGACAACTCCTGGAAGCATGATGATGCCGAACATGAGTCCGGAACGATTGAAGCGTGTAAGTTTCCTCCTCCACGATCTTCTAATCAGCTCCTGACTGTTCATCACGCAGTTCGCGAACATGAACCATCCTGCCCTACCTCAAGGAATGACTCTGGTCTCTGCGATCACAGGGCAGTCCAATGGGGAGTCCAAACGACAGTCCAACGGGGAGTCGAACGAACAGTCCAACGGGGAACTCAAAGGGCAGCCCAAAGGGCAGTCCAAGAAACGTCGCGGTGGGCGCTCGCGCGCCCAGTGAATCACGAGCCAGAGTTGTCTATCAAACCAAAATTAGATGCCGATGTGGGGATTCCATTGCCAGGTTAGACTGGGACATGTTGCATTCGATAGTTCAAAGTAGAAGAGCCCTTGTATGGATCTTTGGCTCTTTGCTCTCTAGGCTAGTAGTCATTAAGACTGTGCTTAAATACTCGCGAAATAGTAGTCAGACAGTCCTGAATTCTAAAGAATGCCTCTCTTAAATGACCTATGGGCTATTTGCATGTATCTTCTCTTCTGACTATCCTCCATCTATTCCCATTCATCCGTCTATTCTGTCTCCGTCGAGACTTCCATTTCGTTGCCGCATAGTAAACAATGTTAGTACACGGTAGCTGCCATCCAACTCGGACAGAAACTCAAGCCCAGCAACAAGCAGGTTAATTCTAGAGCTGAGGACAGACTAAGCTGTGGCTGAGTGACTGAGATACAGGGGCCTATTTTTACGCTTATGGATCCCGATAGGATCTCCGATCTCAAACCTCATCCCGAGTTAGCTACAGTTATTAGTTGTGCTTATACATGGCATATTAGAACATCTACAAATTACTAGCGAGTTATGCAGAAGCGATAAGCCTGTTGATCTATGAGAATAGACGTTGCCTACCATCCTGCAGTAAACAACTTGGCTTCGCAGTTGTCGGTGACGCTGAGGTAAGAGAGACACCGTAGCGCAACGGACTGAACAGCTACAGAAGAATGAACGAAATATCTTGGTGTTGTTCAGTACTTTTTCCAAGCTGCCCTTTTTCCTGACACGACTTTTCCCCGTCCTAAAGATAAAAAGGTAGACCACTTGCTTGCTCCCTTCTTTGAGCCATCTCTTAAGCTTGCAGTTCGAGGTGGTACGATCGAATGATCGAATCCGCGTCGTCGACGGAAAGTTGACGGGTGTCAGCCGTAGTCTTGATCCTTTGTGTCCTTGATTTGGAGTTAATAAAGTCACAAGTCGCTGGAAAAGGCAGAACATGGACAGCTTACAATTCCTTAATTTGATCGTCGGTCATTGTGAGACCCAGCTGCTCAGCACGACCCTTAATGGCGTTCCAGCCGGTCAGTCGCGAAGCAAAGTGGACGTTTCGGGTCACACCGAAGTCGGCGGGATCGATGATTTCGTATGTCGAAGGCGCTATCCGGTGTTAGCAGTAGTACAGGAGAGATTGCAAGAACGGTTCGCTTTTCTCAAAGACTGCTATGAGTTCATTGATGCGAGAGCTTCTAAATAAAAGACCTCAAGGTGAAGCAGTCATGGTGTGTCTATGTGAAAAGGGATTCCCCGTCTAGGTGAGGGTGATAAGTGTTCTGGTGGCAGCATACATTTGAGAACGGCCTTGCTATGGATTCCGGCCTTGTGAGAGAACGCACTGAAACCTGTAGAATGTATTAGTAGGAATTCCGGGAGAGGAGGACTTGGGAAAAGCGATGTAGAGTCTGAATATAGAGCATGGTGTTGGACGAGCGAATTGCCAACATTGCGAGCTCCGCAGACAAATTTTGACAACAGAGGGGATATAAGAGGAAGAAGAAGAAGTGTGCATGAAACTTGCCAGTTACTGGGTTGTTGAAGGGAACGCTCTGTTCTCACCGTTAGCTTAGATTCTCACCATCACGACGATCTCATCTTACGATCTGGGCATGTTCCGCAACGAGCTCTTCCAGTGCCTGGAGCTGAGGCAGCTTATACGTGGAGGTGACATAGTTGCGGTCTTCAACGACCATGCGAGCGAGGAAAGCACCCAAGGCCTGGAACCGTTAGAAAAGTAGAGACACGTTGATAGTGTGGCAAGCATACAGTGATGCCGTTTCTTTGCCCGACGCCGAGAACGCTCGTGTCGATGTCTGTGATGAAGTCAGAATATGTATCCCCGAGCTCAAGTTCTAGACTTACGTGTAGCACCGGCTTCAAGTGCTGCGTGTGCGTTCGCGATAGCACACATGTTGTCGTTGTGGCTAGGCATTGACACATTAGCTTGAGAATTACATCTGACGAGAAAGGGCCGGCAACGCACAAATGGGTTTCAATTTCACAGCTGACGATACCTATGGTTCAAGTCAGTAGGTTGCGAGGAATTTACCTGAACTAGGAGGATCTGACTTCGAAGAGTGCTCACGAGATCGTGTACTTGTCGAGGCGTCGCGCATCCTAGGGTATCGGCAACACGAACGCGGGTCACGCCAGCTTGATCGACCGTTCTGTAAAGGTCACGCAAGTCGACTAGATCTCTGAAGCCATCTTCAGTGCTAAAGATGACCTCAACACCTCGGCTGCGAAATTGGTCAGCTTTCTTCGTTTTCCTCGCGAGGTTTTATGCCCCTTTGGATTGAAATTTCTGTCCCCTTGACCAATAATGCACGAGAATGTCGAAAAATCAATGTGCGGGTGTCATCCTCTTAGTGGACTGATTACATACCTCTTGATGTAGGCAATAACCTCGAGAGCGGTCTTCTTAATGTCGGCCATGTCCTTGCCATTGGAAAACTCTTCAGTTGAAGTATTGACGACTACCTCCACGCCAGCAACCCCCGTATCGCAAGCAAGCTTGGCCTCCTGCAAAGGTTAGGAATCATTAAAGGAGAAAAAAGTTGATTCCACTCACCTCCGCAGAAGATCGCACACCTGTAAGTCATTAGTCGGTCGGTCAACCGGAAGCGGGGATTTGGAAAAAGATGGGTTTGAGACTCACGGGTCAGAATTTTCGACTAGAGACAATGTTAGCCTGTTGTTGGTTAAATGAGGGACAATGGAGAACTGACCTTGAGACCGAGCTTGCAGATTGCCTCACAGTCCTTGCGAGATTGCTCCGATGCAGCAGGAGACGTGAGTTCTATGTACTGGACGCCAAAATCGGAGAGAGCAGTAGCACTATGAGAGACATCAGCTAAAAAGGTGCATGTGAATAGGATTTTGCGACTTGGCTAACATCTTGATCTTGGCATCCGTGTCGGAAGAGGCATTGGTAAGTTGCTCACCTTCTCGAAGCATACCGACGATCTTGAATCGATTCGAGGTGGGAGCCGAGTCACCAGTAGATTCGTCCGGCCTGGTGTGGTCAGGAACACGGCCGATGCTAGTGACAGCACCGGAGTCGAGTTCGGAAGCCATGATCAGGAATTAGACCTCGTTGGATTCGTGCCAATTGGAGGAGCAGGTGGTTGGTTAACAGGCGAAGGGAGAAAAATGGTATAGTGGTGTCTTAGCAGGAGGATTGAGAAAAATAGAGTAACTTATCTCAGCAGCCAATGTGAACCCCGATGGGAAGGTTGAATATCTTTTGCACTGTG